AGATCATGGGCGTGACACAGCTGCAGTCCAGTTCTAAATGTGGCAGTGAAGGTCTTCCCATGCTTTTTGCCTGATTCTGATTGCTGTCAGAAAATATAGGCCAATGTTACTGTGATCTGTGTAGTCTCCTTAAACCGTCACTGCTGTCAATCAGAATATATTGTCAGTGACCTATGATTTCAATGAGATTAACAGCGTGCACATAGATTGACCTTATTACATCCTGAAGCGATAGTGACATGCGCCACCTCTCATGAAACAGCATGGAAAAAAATTAAGTGGAAATAATTACTTTTGAATACAAACATTGAAAGAACTTGCTGAACGTCACCCGTGAGGATCTGGTTAATTAAAACATTTTTCTTATCCTGGAGGAAGGTTTCTATTACAGTTAACTCTTACCTTTCTTTTAGGTGTTTTGAAAAGTAAAGTGGCTTAGACAGGTTTCAAAATTGCAATAATGAAACTGTAAACAGCACTGCAGTATATTGTACCTGTGAGACTGTTTGCAAACAAATTCTGGAGATCTGGACAGTCTGTGTCTGTCTGACTGTTCAACAGTGTGTGGTTTTACAGTATATCAGTGTTGGACAATTCTGCAGTCGGTCTGTGGCTTGGTGTTTGGCTATCAGGAAAGAGAAGCTCACAGCTGCAATGGTCTCCTAATTGATGGTGAAACACTCAGAAAGAAGGGTGCCCTTTGCTGTAACTGTGCCGTTTTCAGCACAGCTCAGTTTAGAGATCAGTGCTTGCCCTGTCGACACTCTCCACTACCCCCAGTCTCCTACAACACATTTGTAATTTCCCTTCATTTCCCAGACTGTGCGCCTCGGTTCCAATGAGCATTTTAAAAATTACCCTGACGTCTCTTCATGTAGTTGGCATAAGACGAAAAGAAATCACTGATAATTGCAAAGAAGCCAGGAGAGAAATCTCACAGGACACGAATGAAAAGGCAGAACACCTTGTTTGGAGGGAAAATATACTGACCTGGTGTCACTGGTATCTTGGGAGAGAAAAGAGGAGGATAATACAGGTAATGTATATGCAGTGGGAAGTAACACAGTTGTCAAAAGGTTGAAACAGCAAAGTAAAAATAATCATTGAATTCAGGGTCTGTTTTTTTTTCATTTATTCTCAGCTGACTCATTCTCTGATATTCACCCCCCTGAAGTGTAACTCATGAGGGTTTATCAATCATTAGTTTAAACCTTTCTCAAAAGCTCAATTACATCCGCATTGTCACTAGGGCAAATCCCCTCCTCTCCCTCTACCACCTCTTTTTAAAGCCAGTTCAATTTTGTTGCATGACATGTTTGATATCTCCTTTACTTTTCTTCAGCATCAGATGCCTTTGTTTGTTATAAAGGCTACTGTGAAGCCATCGCCTCAGGGAGTGAATACTTTGGCCTCATTTTGTGGAGCCAAGTGTCAGTCTCCTCGAATTGAAAAAAACATTTCACTTTGAAATCAGCTCTCTGGCTGAAATGGGGAAAACGTGCCTGGATTTAAATGAATGCATAAAACATTCAGATACTTGTTAGTGTGTCTCTGAGAAAGTGAAGCACACAGAAAATGTATGTGGAGGAAAGGCAGTTTGCATACCTTAAGCAGTTGGGATGCCTACATCAGAATTATTCCTCATACACAATAGCCTTTATTAAACTGTACTTCAGTTCACCTTTTCTTACATATTTAGTTAAATAAAACACTGGATTGTGCAGAAAGATCCTGCATACCTCCTGTATAGCTGTCATTAAAGCGAATTGCAAGGCTTTGAAGGAAAACAGTTACCCAGTTAATGACCCTTGGAACAGGGACTCTGAGAGGCTATCAGTTACTGACATTGGCATTAACTAAGAAAATAACGGTAATTACCTGCTGGTTGTTATTCCTTTGCAAGAAGATCACAGAATAGTTAGCGCTATAATGACATTAAACATTCTTTGAAAGTTACCGTCAGCCTGAAAGGCCCCGGCAGGATTGGTAGATCTAGGCTTTAAAATGCATGACCGCTGTGGTAGGACAATGACTTTGCACATCAATGGAGAGACTTGGTAGAGTTGCCTGGCCTGGGAAAGAACCACAAAGAAAAAAAACAACAGCATTCCTTTCAACATCTGTGAGATCTTACAGTCAGGAATATTTAGATTCATGCTTGTTTCAATATAAATATATTTTGGCACAGTGGAGCAGTGGTTCGCATTACTGCCTCTCAGCACTGGGACTCTGGATCCAATTCCAGACCCGGGGTGCTATCTCTGTGGAGTTTCTAGTTCTCCCTATGTTTGTGGGAGTTTCCTCTGGGTGCTCTAAGTTTCTCCCACATCCCAAAGACATCCTGGTAGGTTGATTAGCTTCTTAGTGAATTGGCCCTGGTGTGAGTGTGTGCATGTACTGTATGTGTCTGCCCTGCAATGAACTGGCGTCCCGCCCGGGGTGTATCCTGCCTTGTGCTTGCAATATAGGCACCAGCTCCCCAGTGACCTTGTATAGGATAAAGAGGTTAGACCATGGATGGATGGTATTTAATTTGGAATTCAATTTCTGTTACTTTTTATACACTCCCTATCTGCAGTTGGCCTTTCTTAATCAGCTTGGCTTCAACTCCTCTATCAGCCCATGGGGAATGAGGACGGTGAGGGCTCAGCTCCAACATGCCCACTGTTGAGCGACTTGTCACCACACATGCTGTGAGCTCCTAGCGCTTCATGAGAGAATTGGCAGCGAACGGAAGAGGGATGTACCTCACACTGTTAGCACAGCGTCCGGGAATACCCCTGGGTCACTGCTGTCCAGCAAGACAGGCTGACTCAGAGCCAGTGCAAGCCTGCCAGTACTTCACCAATCGCTTGGGATCCCTGACCACAGTCAGCCCAGGTTGAAAGTGATGGCTGACTTCCATCGTGACTTAACCTACTGCGACACTCAGCTAGCCCCTGACGTCAATACATTTGGGAGCGCCTCACACTTTGGCCCAGAAACTGATGCTGTATTTGAGTCTGAAAGTCAAAATGTCAAAAAGTTTAAAAAAAAGAATTAATGTGGTGAGAAATAATGCGTCTGAATGCAAAATAGCAGTTTCAACTCAGCAGAGCAGCAGAGCAAAGACAGGTCAGTTCAGAGGGGAAATTGATACATCATGTTTAGTACTGCGGAAAAAAATATTTCCTACATCTTGGAGAGAAACTTCAGACAAAATGAGCCCGAAGCCAGCATACATGACTGCAGTAAGATTTTGTCAGCCCTTGTTAGGTGAAGAAAGCGAGACTAACCCGTACCCAGATTCAGAGACAGGAGAACTGTGGCGCTTGCTTTCTCATTGAATCATATGACCCGACCACCAGGTTTCTATAACTATTCAAGGATAACATCATTATCTCCTTTTCCATCCATGCACCAAGCCGGAGCCTATTTTGGCAAACAAAAGGCACAAGGCAGGATACACCCTGGATGGGATACCAGTCCATTGCAGTGCCGAAAGACACTCACACCAGGGCCAATTTTTCGACAAGCCAATTAACGTACAAGTATGTTTTTGGGCTGTGGGAGGAAACAAACTACCCGAAGGAAACCCACGGATAGACAGGGAGAACATACAAACTCCACACAGATTAACTCTTCTAAACATCATAATTATGATGCATCAGAACTCTGACTTGCTATTCTGTTTCCTCTAAATATTTTCTAACAAAAAAGAGGCAAAAGTTTATCAATTAATAATAGCACAGTAGAGGGAAAAGGGATGCAGACAGAATTTAGACCATCCAGAGAATTTAGACCTGGATGTAGCACAAATATAAAAATATGAACAGCTGACAAGTACAGTTCATATACAGCAACATGAAGCTTTGAAATGAGGTAACATTGATTTGAAATTATTGGAATTTACTAGGGAACGTACTGAAAAAGCACAGATATTTTAAACAAGGCACACCACACAGGATATGTTTTCACAGGGAATACAATTTCCAATCTTTCTTTCACTTAAATCCAGATGCCTTGTGCCATTCCTGGAAGATGAATTTTGCCATTAAACTATTTTTTTATGCTAGCTTGTTGACACTTGACTAAAATGAGAAGGAGTCAAAATAATAAAAACCTCACAAATGTTGACAGAAAAATGCTGTCTGTACAATCTGATCATCTGATGTAAAGTATCACTGTGATGAAACAACAGAGTGTGTCTGTTTGCAGTCAACTGTTCAGCCAAATCTTTTATTTTCCGAATGGCCTCTGTGATGTTTCTGGGTCGTGAAGCTGGCAGCTGCGTGATTTTCCACAGCATGGCTGTTAAGAGAAATGTGCTCCAGTTTCTTTAAAAAATCTGTACTTTATAAGCAAAGCTGTCGACTTGAACCGATCTTGAATAAGAATATGTTTCTCATCCTACAAAAGCAGATCAACCAATTTGCAAACAGGAAAGACAATGCTGTTTTTTAAAACATCTAAGTAAATTTATCAGTTCTGCTTCGTTGTGTAGTTTTATACTTGAGTAACAGGGACACAGTGCATAATAAATAAATAAATAATCACTTACCTATAAAACTCGAAAATTCAACACCACCCAAAAAGATGTGCGATTGACATGAAATAAGGGTCTACAATGCTTACTGCATTACCTGTATCACAGGCAAATGAATTTGTCCTAATAAGTTGCAGCAACTGCACTGCAGAAATGCTGTGAAATGAGAACTAAACAATACGTTAATTTCTATAACAGAGCAATATTAAATACATCTCTGAACAGGTGTCCAGAAATTTTGATTTCTATATGGGACAAGGTTATACTGTCTCATGCAATCAATGTTCTGCAATTACTCAAACCGAATGTCATTGCTTCTGGCTGTGCTGAGCTAAGTATAAACCCTCCGTGAGTCACGCTGGCTGAAGTGATGGTATTTCTCAGTTGAACACACTCAGAGGTAGATCAAGGCTGAGGCACTGTCTTCAGGACTGATGTGAAATATATCGATTTTGTCTTCTCTTACGGAGGACAGAAAAACGGGATTTGTGGTTCTTTGCCTTTGGAAGGATGGCTGGTACTAAGTGCTTCCTCAGTATACCAAGGTACGTGCGTATCTGTTGTAATTGTTGCTTCTCTAGTGCACCAGCTGCATGCTTTCTAACAGAAGTCTTTCCTGGTACTGTATTTATTTGACCAGTATTCTACAGTACAGTATATGGCGCTATTACCATCAGGGGTTTAAAAGATGCCTTTGACTGAATGCAAAAGCAAATATAGAAAATGCCTCTAATTAAAATGTAAAACATCCATTTTTATTACATTTAAAAGATAGTAGACAAGGAATTACTCCAATAGCATTGCATATTTATCATCTTTCAGCAAAATTCCTCTCTGGATTTCTCGCATGTTAAAAGCAGTAAACAATTCTTGCTGCAGGCATGTCATTCTCAAAATTGAGCATGCAAGCATTACTGAAGAAGAAAAAAAGGCTTTAACTGAATAGATGTACAGTAATATGTACTGGAACACCTAGAGAATTAGAAACATGCTTTGTTCCAGAAACGTTGCAACATTTTCCCCTAATATACATGTACAGTCTTTGAAACGCACAATGATCAAACTAGTGCACAACAACTTAAGGTTGCATTTTGCAAAAAGGCTTAACCGAGTACAGTTTGAATGAGCTGCATAGCACTTGTACAGTACATGACATATAGTATACTGTATCGTGAAATTTGTTTTGGTTTACCAGGGCTTTTTAGAGATCATTGGCTTGGAATTGCTTGTGCAATTAAACATGTTAATATTCTACAAATAATTCTAAAACCACCTCATTTTCTGCTTAACTTCCCAAATATATGTAAATACAAATTAATCAATATATAGTTTCTCTATACAGTTATTCACTAAGAATATGCTTACTTCCTAGTTGTAGAGTGAACCTCTGATTTTATCTTTTCCCTTTCATCTTATTTCATTTCTTTAATCCTAAAATAACAAGTCCCTATTTTCTATTCCTAACATAACAATTTAGTTTTCCGATTATTACAACCATAATTAGATGCAGAAGAAAATTGATTTGTTTTTAAAAGCCTAATTTAAAAAACCAATGTAATGAATGTGAATTAAGCTTAGCCATCCTAAAACATTTTTTTCAGGTCTCATTTCTTATTTTCCCATCCTTTTTGGCAATCTATTTCTTGAAAATTCAAATTAAAACCTTATTCTTGGCTTTGTTATGGGACGATAGCAAATTAGGGATTGAAACATTTAAACATTTTTTCAGTCCCTAATTTTACTTTAGTAATGTAAAGTAGATTGACTTTACTGGAATTTTCCAATATGTTGCACTAATAATCCAAAAAGTAATTTGATGTTAAATAAATCAGTTTTATATCAGAAAGATTCATTTGATCATTTTTTAACAACGGTGAGTATTAAATATTTAATTTGGTTTTGGTTTTAAAATGTGTTCTGTTCACAATAGAATTTCATCACATTAGTACAGTAGATGATCAACAGGTCTTTCCCTCTGGACTATCTTCATTTCCACTAACACTCTCAGCCCAAATAATACATAAGGACTCTTCAGTCTAATATAATTTAAACTCTACAAAGTAAGAATCTGTATACTGAGATTGATATTGTATTCAGAATATTGATCAATAAGATTGCAATAGCAAGATTCTCCTTAAAATCTAAAAAGAGTTACAATTTGATTCCTATACTCCTGGGGAGTACTTGTTGCTATTAAATTATTCTATACAAAAAGTTTTGAAGGTCTAGGACAATGGACTTTTTTAAAAATTCCAAAATTGCTCCGTATTGTTAATCAGCTACATGCAGTCCTTGTATTAAGAAATGCAGAAAAAGCAAATAATTAAAATATTTGTTTCCTGGGTAAATTAAAAATGTATTGGAATGCACATTTCAATTTTCTAATCTTGACGTGCAGTCTTTTTTAGATGTATCTGCAATGTTGTTTTTATTGATTGCACTTGACAGGATTTGATTTTTGGTACAGATTTGAAATTGTCAATTATTTCTTATTTGTAAGTCTGCCATTTGGAAGAGCCACCCGTCTCTCACTTATCTTATTATAAGCGGTAATCGCCCGGCAGGTCACAGGAGGAGCTGTTTTCAGCGAGATAGGAAAAATCTTGGCCATCTAATCCCAAAACATTCCCAATTTTCCCAGACAAATTGGGAATAATCCCTGTCGTAGTCTGGTGATGACCCAGTCTTCTAACCAGGAGTGTAAAGGTCATAAATAGTTACCTGTACCTGCATTCGAAGTCAGCGGCTCTGTTTGTTGAGACTGTCCAGGCTCGGATTGGTGCAGAGAAAGATAGTAAGTAACCTTTTCCAAAATAGTACCTTCAGGTATAAAATGAATAAAAAAATAATCTGACACCGCATGCCACATGTATGTAAGCAGGATTGAATGAAGGAAGTATATTTTGACAGTATCTCTTTAATCATAACCATTGACATTTCCAGGCAATCTTTCTTTGCTGCTGTATTAACTGAAAAAAAAATCAGCAGAGCCAAAACTTTATACTTTAATTCCCTCAGGAAAACAAATGAAAGGGAAATTCAAGGAAAATTAGCCGACAAAGACATTGCTTATGGATGATTCAGTTTGTCAGGTAACTCAAAGAGAAAATGAATGCCATTTAAAAGACAGGAATCTTGGTTAACATCACAGCATTAAATCCCTTAATAAACACATGCCCATCTTATGGCCACACTGGTATTTCCCTTTGGTAAATTACAAGTGGCCCCGATACTCACCTGGTAATCTTAAAATTTGGGCCTTATTTCTGTCCTTTATTCCCCTTAAAATAACATATGGTTTTTCTACACAAAAAAGTGGGTTTTTCACTTTCACTCACAATGCAGAACAGTTGAAGAACTCCTCAAGTCACTTAAAATGCAGTGTTACAAAAAAGGATTGAGGCGTCCAAGAGTTCAAGATACCATAAATCCAAATGGAAATCAGGAGGACGAGCTGTGGCTGTTTTTCTTTGATCAGATTCAGATTCTATCTGAATGATACAAACAGTGAGCAGGAATAAAGAGCAGCCTTATAACCAGTTCTGTTGCTATTACTGCACATTCTCTCATGGAGCTTCAGCACCAACATTAACACATTAAAAAGTCACATAAGTCCTGGACTTCCGTTATTGAAAATGTTGAAAGTGTCAAAATTCATCTTGGATGTGCTTCTGCAACTACAGAATTCTTAAGGTCCTATTTACTGTATATTTGATGACTTGAACAATCTTAATGAAGATCTGGTATATTTCTTGTTATTGTTGTTACAGATTCCATTTTTTTTGCACATAGATGGAAAAAAAACTTTGTTTTAATGTTGTTTTTTGTTTTTGTTTTTCTGTGGTGAAAAATAGAACTGGATGCTTAAATTGCCAAGATATTTCAAAATAGTACATGGTTGGAATCAAAGCAGATTTTTGTCATTTTGATGTCCTTAGTCGGTCGTGCTGGGTGTAAGATTACATTTGACATTTTTGTTTTCACATAGCTTTGAACAAATTCGATCATTTTTTTATTCTGGTGTTTTTAACAGATGTTCACGACGAGGTCATTAATCCGCTCTTTTAGGCAGTAATGTTTTGCCTGAGGAGCCCCCTCCTTCATCTTTACAGCACCCTCGCTTGTTCATTCCTTACAAGTCAGGTGGATTTTTTCAGCCTTAAACGTGCGGCCCTAGTAGTTATTTACTCAGCCTGGCGAGATAAAGGCAGACGCTAACATATTGAGTACGCTAGCCCTTTAAATTTTTATCGTTGTTAATTAGATTTTGACAGAACTTCTGACATCAAGGTTCTGATTGATCCGTACATTTTCATGTTTTTAAGAAACCAATGCTGATTTCCCTTTGTGAATAACGCATCAAGATTTTTTCTTTTAGATATTTACAACATACTAATGTTTTTTTTTTCAGTAATTTTGAAACTACGCCGATGCGTGAGATTTCTGAGAATTTAGAAGATTCCCTTGACACAGTGGGAGCAAGCACAAGCAGCAGTTTGGATAGCTCAGTTACTGCTTGCAAGAAGGTAAGTACCTCTTAGCCGCAATTCGACATCCCAGAGTCCACAGTATCAACATCCCTTTGCGCACCAAAACGTTCCCAAAGGATACAACGTATCTAAAAAGTCTACAAGTCTCTCACAATCTCTGAAGATATGGTGGGACACCTGTACACTAACGGGCTACTTTAGTATTACATTTTAGCATAGAATTCAAGAACATACACATACTGTATTTAATGGACAAGATAACTGATCTAGATTGTACTTTTTCATGAGAGATCTCGGCCAAATGTGATTCCGCCATTCCTGTCGAATGCCAGTCTTCATCAGCACAGAAGCCCAAAAAAGTTTAAGAAAAACCACGTTTATAATGGTCACAAAGTCATTCCTTTACACCATATAGACACATTAAACGAGCCAAATCTCTCTAAATGTAGTAAACTGAGTGAAAACGTGAGAGAACAAAGATTAATATTTCTGTTCATGCAACTGAACAGAACGACACGTATGGAAACTTTTAAATTATTATTAAAACGAATATCATGAATAATTTAGTGAAGGTACTCGGAACTTTCACTTTTTATCATGGTGCTGGAGAAACTCGGGAAAAGTAAAATTGCAAAGTTTGATTGGTCTTTTCCTCATAAATGTTTTTTGATCTACTGAACAGTAATTGATTTCAAAATAAAGCAACACGCTCAACACGCTTAATAACCAATTTGTTTTGTGGGCATCAATAACTTTGCTAATAAAGGATTTTTTTTAAAGTAGGAAAAGACTTCTCTTTTTATTACCAGATATTTTTCCTGTAGCTTTAAACGTAAGTAGAACAAGTTTCTGCATGTTTTATTTATGGAGGCATTGTTTTGTTTTCATAATAAAAATAACATTTTTCAGGTGTAAAAATAGATTCATTCTGACACTGTTCGCCGTGGAGGAACCCTGAAAGTTTTTTATTGCATATTAGCTTCCAGCAAGAGGAAATTTACCAGGCTTATTTCTGAAAGCTTGCTTCATTAATGTGAACTGAGATTTATTTAGGGCTTCCAAGCTAAACTCCTTTAAATCTTGCTAAGTGTATCTGATTAATGATTGCTTGGGGCGTGGCAGTTCACCTGTCAAGTAGGCCGGTCACTCGTTTGGAAATTTTTGAAAGACGAAATAATAACGAATCACAGTCGTGAACATTGCGATGCCTGTGAAAAGCCTTGTTTTAAGAGTTCATTCTAAGGCATATACTTGTTGTATTACTGAAAACATCTTATAAATGCTAGTTTGTTAATGTTTATTCATTTGTAATTGGTGTTATGCCTGACCCCACCTTTCCCAGTCTAATTAGTAAATGGGATACTTGTCAATTAAGAGTCTGAGATGTATGTGCCTCTACAAGTGCTTCGTGCCTGTTAATCGTAATTTCAATTTGTGCAGTTTTAGAGCTGTCTTTTGAAGTCTTTTGAACTGCTCTTTATACTGATTTGTCCTTCCTGGGGTAAACACATCAACGAGCAATCGCGTTCAGCCAGGTTCAAGAAAGGCACAATGTGATTTGTGAAGCAGGCTTAAAGTGTTTTAAATTGAAAACATCATTAGAGCTCACCTGCTGTATTGCAGTATAAGAAAAAAATAGTTGTTTTTGTTCTGTTTTTGTTAGCTTTGTTTCTATTTCTTCCCCTTCACTTCCTTATTGCCTAAAACAACAATATATTGCTATTATCTTTCAGTTACAGTGGAGACATTTGCATTCGTTTAAAAGCAACATCAGACCTGTCATTTCTTTCGTGTTTCCTGCCAGAATCTGTCATTTCAGTTAACCTCCGGGGAGTGCAGGGCAGTAGTTGGTAGGTGCGAAAAACAATAATAAAAATCTGGTTGATGAGCTTAATGGACAGACAGCCATTTTCATGTCTTCTAAGAAGATTAGTGAGTGGTCCCTTTTCTCATTTTTGAACATCTCCAACCCTGGTTCAGTAGAGTATATTCTTGTTTTTGTTCCGAGTGATCTCTAAATTACGTAATTGTAGTCTCCCCTCCATTAAAGTGATCACTTCTGAATTGTTCCAGACCTTTGGAAATTGGACTGTGGCTCTCCAAGAGCAGGGTGGGAGACTCCTGGACTGACAGGACTGGGGCTCTACAGGACCAGGGTGGGATACTCTTGGACTGACAGGGCTGGGGCTTCACAGGACCTGGGTGGGCGACTCTTGGACTGACAGGACTGGGGCTTCACAGGACCTGGGTGGGAGACTCTCGGACTGACAGGACTGGGGCTTCACAGGACTAGGGTGGGAGACCTCTGGACTGACAGGACCGGGGCTTGGAAGGAACAGGGTGGGGGACCCCTGGACTGAACCAACTGGGGCTCTGTAGGATTAGGGTGGGAGACCCCTGGACTGACAGGATTGGGGCTTCACAGGACCAGGGAGGAAGTCTCCTGGACTGAGGACTGGGGCTTCACAGGACCAGGGTGGGAGACTCTTGGACTGAGGACTGGAGCTTTACAGGACCAGGGTGGGAGACTCTTGGACTGACAGGACTGGGGCTTCACAGGACCTGGGTGGGAGACTCTCGGAC